CGAACATTACTACACATATAGATTTTATCAGTTGCAACTTGTGCTTATGTTGTTTGCCTTAACTATTCTGTTTTATGGCTAGATACAAAATGGCTTATGATGGTGCAATTTCAACACATCAAGGAGTGAGTTGTGGACCATAGTTAGTGATGGTGAGTTGGTAGGTACACCAAATTCACTTTGGCCATGTGGAAGATAAAAAAGGCGAATAAAAAAGTTCTTAGAAGTTGCAAAGAAAATAAAATTAGGCCACAAATATATTTGTTGCAATTTATAGGGGCAACATAGAAGTACTTGCAAAAACCCTTTAATTCTGGAAGGTGAAAATATTGATAAAGGGATTCAGCATGGTGATCAATTGACAAGTACATTGGGTGTTTAAACTATATTACCAATTCGATGTACAGATTCCGTAAGCTCGGGTTAGAGTTGAAATGGCTTAGTTATTTTTTGGAAAGGCTAATGAAATTAGACAACTTTATGTAGGCCCTTTCATACTTTTGTATTTTTAAATTGCACAAATTTTACTTTACAAGCAGATGCAAAATTTATAACAAGAACAATATTATTTTATATGATAAATCTATAGATTATTGTAGTAAGAGTTTAGAGGTTGGCTCTTAAGGACTTTTTTTTTTATTGATGAATTGTTACAATGAATAATAAACTGGGAAGCTTCAGTTAATAAATCCATGTGGGATTGAAATTGAGCTTAAATGAGCTTGTTTTTACTGCTTACAAGCTTTGAAATCAGTGTAGTTTTTCAATAATAAGCCATTAAAAACATTTATTGCATCTTCTTATATTTCTCAAGTTAAATGCAGCTAAAGACATTCTATTGTCCCCAACACTTACATGTTTTATGTTTGATGCTTCATCCAACATTTCATCGCAAATTTATTAAATAGAGAGATGTTTTATATTTGGCATAACATGAATAAGACAATTTAGTTAAAAACTGATCGATAATAAACTCACCGTTTCAAATATAATAAACTCTCTTTCAATATTCAATATTCATTTTAAATAAACTATATAACACAAAGCTACTAAAACATTCAAATATTGGAAATAAAATCATCCACAAGATCTCTTTCATTTCATTAAAATATATCTACACTACAGTATATGGCTATATGTATATGTTATAGAACTGAATAATAAACTAACTGTGACTATACAAAAATTAAAATAGGGAAATACCTATAAATGCAAATTGAATCCTGAACTACTAATTAACAATCACATTTCCCTTTCTAGATCCTGAAAACTAAAAGCAAAATTACAATGAGCTACAATAGAATAGCAAGCCATACAATCTGATTTAAATTTTTTATTTTTTTATTATTAAATTTTGTTAAATATTTAAAAGAAGTTAAATGCAATATAATAAATCACTGCATTAAGAAATATAATAGGAGCATAGCAGCTATCTAATTATTTAAATAATGATATTGAGCACATAAATAAATTACAATGTATATCATAGATCAGTCTATATCATATTTTTCAGATCCAAACAGAATTTCAAAGGATTCTAACCTCTTATGACTCTTTTTTTTATGCTTATAGCATCACAACATATCACATATTCCTGTCCTATATAGAATACTAAAAGATTTTGACTCTTTATAACTCTCAGCTATTCCCTGACACAGACATAGTCTCAAAAATTTTTGACCCATTATGACTCTCAACATATATAATTTAATCAAATATGCATATATATCATCATATCATTATAGTTAAAGAGTAATTGAACAATTGTCAAAATTTCATAATTTTTTATAACGGTAGACAACATAAAATCCTACTAGAAAAAAATGCACATATTCAAAAAATAACCAAATTATAAAAGATTGTGTAAAATAATATTTTAAGACTTTTATAGTACTACGTCACTATTTTTTATAGTAGAGACTTTTTTTTTCAATAAAAACTCCACAATTTTCAAAACCCTTCTTGTAAAATTTTCAGAAAATATTCAAAATGTCTACAATCTTAATATTTATAACATATTAAAAGTTATGTTGTGAAAAATTTACCAGTGCAAAGTTATCCCTATTTTTCGCCAACGGAAATAAATTTTTAATCAAAAAATGTAATAAAAATTATAGAAATATTTTTAATTGAGATGGGATAATGTGACTTACTTCGAGATGAACAAATTTCCCAACTGACTCGACGGACAAAAATGACTTAGAATAGCCCAAAACCAAAATTTTCTCCCTCTCTCTACTCTCTTTTTTCCTAATTTCCCAGAAATCCTCTATGTTTGGTCAAAATGGACTTTTTGGAAAAAAAAATGACATTAAAGAAAGCCATTATGGTTTTAGATATTTGTTTTTTTAATAAAATAATAATAATATTATTATTTGGTATAAATTCATATAAGTTCTTTTAGGGATCCCAAAAATAAAAAAAAAAAATATTCATGACATGTCTCATTTTATTTAAAATTTTTTGGTGAAATCAGTTTGTAAAACAAAAATCTAATAAACCTAAAAATCACACTTCTGCCGACAGATGTTGATTTCTTAAGGAATTTCATCCGTGCCTAAAAATTATGAAAAAATTAGTGTAATTAAAACATTATATTATATATGTTATGGCTAAGACGGATTATTATTTTGACTAGTAATGATTCCTAAAATAATTATTAACTATTCAAGGTCAAAAAAATTTCTTAAAAAAATTAAGGGTTTTAAAATATATCCACCTTAAGAAAAATGTCATCCTCGACATCTCCAAACCAGAATGAGTTAGAATAAACCAGGATACAACTAACTCATTTTAGTTTCCTTCTCCCAAGCAGCCTTTCTAGCTGTCTTGTGCATCCACTGCACCTTAATCATCATACTTTGTTTGCACTCTATACTATAGATTTGGACAAACCTAAACATCTTTAATATCATCTCTTCCCAGAATTAGATACCCACTTTCTCATATAATACACATGGAATACTTTATGTATATCAGATATATGACCAGGTAACAATAACCTATAAGAAGAATTGTTAATCCTCTAACTGATTTTAAAAGATCCAATGTACCTTAAACTGAGCTTGCTAATTCTCCCAAATATACTAACACTTTTTATATGGCTAACTTTAACATAAACAAAGTCTCCAATCTAAAATTCTACCAATTTGTATTGCTGATCGTAATACTTTTTATGCCTATCATGTGAAAGATTTCAATTTTTCTATGATCAAATATATCTTTATTATAGTGTCATCCACAAAGGCTGGCCCTATCACTATATGTCTCCCATCTCTAATAAAGTCAAAGGAGGCATGTACTTCCTATCATACAGAACTTTATAAGAAGTCATATGTATGCTGGGTTGATAACTATTTGTGAAACCCCTTAAGTAAAAGAAGCTAAACTCTTAAACATCGAGACACCATTTTGTGTAATGGTTGAAATTTTACAGAGAAACTTCATAGTTAAGCATGCTCATCTCAAAGAAATTCTGGGATATGTGACCTATCGGAAACTTACACCAATAGGATAAAAGTGTGAAGCTCTTAGGCCAAAGCGGATAATATATCGATAGTTAAAGTGTGGGCTGCTACACTAGTATTATAAGCAAACTCTATCAGTGAGATGTGATCTTCCCAACTATCCTAAAAATATAGAACACAGTCTCAAAATATCCTCTAGTACTTGAATAGTTATTTTGGACTGTTTTTCTGTGTGCGAATAAAATGTCTTACTAAAGTGCAACTTTGTATCCAGCCCCTACTAAATGCCTCTCCTGTAAACCTTGCTTGTATCCAATCCCTACTTTATATCGAGACGGATTGTGATTTTAACTTGTAATAACTCCTGAAATAATTATTGATTGTTCAAAGTCAAAATTTTTTTTTATAAAAAATTAAGGGTTTCACAATAGCAGTTGGCAAATCATTTATTTCTTCATACCACCTAAAATAATCACAATCATCTTCAGATATGTTCCGGGGACATCTATGGAATTTTCTTTCACGACTACTAGCTTTGCAGAAGGTATACATTGTACATTACAAATTGCAACGACAATACAATTGATTATTTAGGTTTCTCATTAATACCGTCTCACTGCACGTTAACTTTAGAACTTGAGAAGCAATAGATAGACACATTCAAAAATAAGAATGCAAATTTTATTATAGATATCTCATAACCAAAACAATCATTTAAAGCAATAAAAAAGATATAGATCTTTAGAACTATTATACCAATCTTAAATAGTTCACTCATGTAAGAACCTCTAATGAAACAGCAAATCAATCCAAACTTAAATTAAAAAAAAACTTAAATTAGAAGTAACAACAAACATATGTTTACTGATCTATTTAGAAATTTAATAAGCAAAACATTCATCCATAGGTATACCATAAACTACAGAGCAAGCATTCTACTTGTTGGAAAGATTGGAAGAGAGTCGAGAGACAAGATAGACACAATGAGAGTTAGGACATTCTCGAGATTACAGATCAGGTGTAGGGCATTCGTGAGATTATGTTGTAGGTTGGCTAAGCATTTGATGGATTTAACTAAATAAGCGCGATAAAGGGGAGATATATCATTACATTCGCGACGAGCTCTGGTCGAGACTTTCGATCTGATAACAACAAATAAATGAAAAAGACGGAAAAAAATAACACGATAAAAGGGGAGATATATCTTTACCTTTGCGGCAAGCTCCGATCTGATAGCAACGGAGAAATGAAGGAGAAGAAAAACAAACTTTCTTGAGCGAAGAAGATGCGAGGGGGTCTGGCTGATAGGGGTTTTGACGATATTAACAGGGATAATTTAGTTGAAATGAATTATATTTGGGTAATAGATAATTAAATACTTAAATCATATTTTTTAGATGTTATGTACGTAATATTTTAATAATTATTCTATTACTTAAATTATATTTAAATACTTTTAACCATTTTTTTATATCATTTAACCCGAATCAATCCTAATAAAAACTTTTAAGCTTGAACTTGAACCTCTCCTCCCGATTTTAAAACATTGCGATTTAACGTGGAAATCTCGTTTAGCTTCTTCGTTGTTTTGACTCAGCGACTCGCTCTAATTCAGAACCCTCTTCACGCACGGACGCCGGAAGAACACTGCTCCGAGATCCTAACTGCCGTTAGTTCGTCGGAAACGATGGATTTTCAGGTCGTCGTCATGGCCGGAGGTTATTCGAAGAACCTGGTTCCTCTCGTTTCCCAGGCACACTTTTTTCATCCCCTCTTTTTCGTTTCTCATTCATTTCGATTTCGATTTCCATCGTCTCTTACTCGCACTCGCCTTTCACTCGCGATGCAGGAGATGCCAAAGCCATTGCTACCCGTGGCCAACCGCCCCGTCCTCTCTTACGTCCTTGAGCTCCTTGAAGCTAGCAACCTCAAGGATCTAATTGTAGTACGTTTATGGCTCTTAAGCTTGGAAAGCTAGGTTTGGAAAGCTAGGTTTTTGGTTAATTTATTATTTTTCCAAGATGCTCAGGTTGTTGAGGGAGAAGATGTTGCTCTTCGTGTTGGTGGATGGATCTCCGGTGCCTATGTTGACCGTCTTCACGTGGAGGTATGTTTTCGGGTGACATTTTATAAATTCTTTTCGTGAATGGGTTGGTTGGGTTATTATACCGTGATCCATCTTCTTTGCTGGAGTTCTAGAGTGTGATTCTTGTGCATGGAGTAGTTAACTGAATTTGGCTGATAGTTTTGGACTGATGGAGCTGCATTCATTTAAATATAAAATTAACATAATTCTTCTTTTAGTGTTGTAGCGGTGGTTTGTACTGGTATTTAAAGGCCGTTAAAGATTTGTATATTTGTGTATTTTTGGAAGTTAAGGAAGTTTGTGGTGAAGCCTGTGACATATGACATTGGTGTTAGTTACAAGTTCACAATTTTGAAGGTACAATGATTAGGAAAAAGAGGTTGCATCCAAGATGTCAATACCAAATTCAATAACACATTTTTAGTTAGGGGTTGCTTGTATTTTACACCGAGTAAGCTGGCAGGTTTGACATACTTCGAGAAAAACAGTTTAACAATTGCTTTGTCCTCTATTTTATATCCATGATTATTAAATAATTAGATTTAGGTTAATAGTGACAACCATTTAATATTTGCAGCATATAGTTGACTTATGAGTTAGCTTGTTGTGCTAAGTAACTAATTTATTTCATAGTTCGATTTTAATCTCTTATGTTTAATTTTTGCAAACCTTTTTTCCTCTTCAATTCTAATAAATTCTTCTTCTACCTTTTGAAAAAGTATATTTATTTTTTCGTGAAATACATCAATAAAACCTAGGTAATGATGCAATATTTTTTTTTTAATAATTTTCTCTCAAACTTTTTTTTTTAAATTCTTATAGTCATAAGTTGGTACCTGGCTTGAACGCTTGTGTTGTGATGTCCTCCCCTCCCTTCTTCTCTCTATCCATTCCCTGTCTCTATGTTTATATGCATATGTGAGTCATTTGATCTTGCATATGTGCGTAGGAACATTTGTGCAAGTGCATTCATGCATGCACATGTTCTAATAGTCACTATTTATATTAAATACGCAAAAATATGTTTCCCTCTTACTTGGTGTCCTCTTATTTTAACATGTTTTCTACAAGTTGTGGATTGTGTTTCAAGATCCTTTTTGTAACTTGCATTGCAAGTTAAAAGAAGATTTAAATGGTGTATCTCTATTTAATTTCACTGAGAAAAGTATAGTTTTGGCCTTTTCACAGTGATTCATAAATTCTTGACTTCATTGTCACTTTTCACATTTAGATTTGTTAAAAGATAGCATCATCATCACCATTATCATTCCTCTTATATGATCTTCTTAATTTATCTTTACTAATTTTTTTATACCCCCATCTTGACATACTTATTTATACTGCACTAAACTTAGATATTAATATTGACTTAGATATTAATATTGACTGACACTTGGATTCAGATAACGTTGCATGCCGAATTCTGATTTTATCATGTTTATGTTTTATACTTTTTGAAAGCCTCTTATCTAATAAACTGAGGTACTTATCCATTTTAATCAACCAACCTTTATTTTAGATGTTATATCCTCACATGCATCTCTATTCTTCTATTTAATAGATCCAATATGAAAACATGTTACACCTAGGGTAGCTTTTTCTTATAATAATTTTAATTGGTAATTGTTAATTTTCATCCACTAAAAATACATATCTTAAATATTTCTCAATGATTCTAATTTTTCATTGATTTGGTGAATGTCTCACCTATTAGAATTATCATTTGCCAAAAAGAAAACCATGTACTTTACTTCGTTAATAGTTATTAGAACTTATTGCATGATATGTTTGACTTCTGATTTATTTTCAGTCTGCTTTGATATGGAAGAGTGGAACAAGTTTAGTATATACCAGTTAACAATAGAACTATGCTGAACATGAGTGAATGGTGTTTTTTATTTTGCCCTCAGAATGTATCTATAAATTGGGATTGAGGAACATTATATACTCTTATATTATGCCTATATACGCCATTTTGGCTTTGATGGAATTCTGTAGCATTGGTTATGATTATCAGGTAAGATTATCTTTCTAAGCCTATAAGAACAATGTTTTTTTAATTGTCTTATGCTGAATTCAGATGGTTATTTTGTTATAGCTATCAGATTTATGTTATCTTTATATAAATTCTATGGGCTATATCATTAATGATTGTGCATTATTATTTCAGCTTTTCTTTATAAAGCACTAGTAATCTTGCCTCCAATAAAGTTGACTGTGATTATAATTCATTGCCTTCATTGAAATCAAGTGGAACCATGCAGTCTGGTTATCTAATAACCAATTGCCTCATGCTTAAAGTTAGGATCAATCTCGCAAAAATTTATAAAGCTTTGATTGTTACTCTTTTCCATTTTTAATAGTTTTCTTCAGAAAATAGGCACTGTGCATGACGATTACCTGTAGAGTATTCAATTTAGTTAATTGCATTTAGTAAATGGGGGTTTTACAGAAATTTTGGATGTTATTATTTAAGTTATATTATTTGAAAACATCTTTAAGCATCCTTAAAGTTTTCACAACTATGTATACGAATTCTTTTTATTTGCTTTTTCCACTGCTTTCACAACCTTTTGATATTCCATTGTAATTTTTTTAGGTAGCCGCAGTTCCTGAGGAAGTTGGTACTGCTGGTGCATTGCGTGCTGTTGCTCACCATCTCACTGCAAAGGATATTTTGGTATTTCTTCATCCTCCAAAGAACCTAAGGTTTATTTTATTTTTGTCATGAACCGTTCTGCACCTTGTAGGTTGTCAGCGGGGATCTCGTTTCTGATGTGCCTCCTGGGGCTGTGGCAGCAACACACAGACGGCTTGATGCTGCAGTGACCGCACTGCTTTGTATTACTCCTGTTAGTGGACCCTCTGAAAGTGTATCATCTGTAGGAAAGGACAAGGGAAGGAAGCTTCCCCGCGCCAATATTGTCGGGCTGGACCATACACGACAATACTTATTACATGTGGCAGCAGGTTTGCGCATTCAAAATGTTGTTCCATTGTGTTTAAAGTGATACCATGCTTATCAAATTTCTCAAAAATCTAAAGGTGCTGAGGTTGGCAAAGATATTAAAATTCAGAAGAGTATACTTCGGGCTAATGATCAGGTAAGTACAAGGATTAAATCTTTAGCAAGGCATCTCTGCTAATTTTTCTTCCCCCCTTCTCAAATTAAGATGTTACCATTCTATATACCTAATTTGGCCGCTAAATACCTGTTTGGTGTCATGTTTTCGATGTGCAGTATTCTAAGCTATTTAGTTCTTCATTTAGTTGGTATAAAATTGTAATACGATAAGTTACTGAGATTGTCAATAACATATACTTAACATTTCTAATATATTTAGTTTGCTCCAATCACTAGGACTCTCCTTTATTTGTTAATTTATCTGAGCAATTTTTGGTTATTATCTGTTTTTTTTTTTTTTTGTTTATTATCTGTTTGCGATCAAATGGTAAAGCAATATTGAACATATACTTATAAAGATTATGATTAAGAGTTCCAATTCTATGGTCGTCATAAGAATTCAAAGTGCTTTTATGGAGCATTTGAATGGTCTCTTTTTGGAGTGTCTGGTGTAGGATGATTTAGGCTAAGGTTCCTAATGAAAGAATGATGCAATACATGTATATCAAACTAGGGAACTTAGGATTCACAAATCAAAAATCACTAATTGATGTAGCATTGGATTTAAGTATTCCAAGAGCTAATCTTGCTGTAGAAAGAGGCATTTATGTCTTAGGAATCTTAGAGGTGAAACTGGTAGGGTGTTGGAATGTTGGTGAAGAGATTAGGGTTAGTCAAGCATGAGATACTCCTTGAACCCGAGATCATGCAGGGTGAATTTGAAAAGTTAGGGTTTGCAAATGATGGGTTCCTGATATTAAACCCTCTTGGAAATGGATTTGGTAAGTGTCCAAATGTGATATGGAGCGTTTGGGAATTTTCTAAGGGGTCTAAGGTGTTGAATTGGCCAACTTTTGATATGTCATTGTTTCTTTGAAATTTAACAAAAAAAAAACATAGATGGATTTCTTTATATAAGATGAAGGGAGACGTAGGAGAAGCAAATACAAAAGTTTATTTGAGAACTTCAGAAGAAAAATTGTACGAATTTAAGTTCTTACGAAACGAGATGCCTCGCGGCCATCAAGCCCAAAAGAAGTGAAAAGTGTGATAAATATTTGTATAATGCATTCCAAATCTTTGATAATTTTTGTTGCAACAAAATAACATTTATAGAAACATTTCCTATATGTTTTTCATTTGAAATTCAAATTCCCTCAAGGATTGGGGTGGTTTCTTGTTTCAAGGATGTATTTGGCCGGTTGGAGTGACAATGACATGACCACTCCGTTGTTTCATGGATAGTGTGGTTATTTGGTTTCATAGATTGTTGAAATTGACTTAAACTACTGATTGGACATCCCTTTATGCTTGAGGAAAGTTAGAAGGCCCCCTTTAATTATTTCTCATAATTAAGGCCAAATAATGAAACTGTGGCCAACCACACCCAGGGGTGCCTAATCTTGTAATTTTAACCTTGTTTTATTTTACCGTGTGATCATTTCATGCAACCTTCTGTAGTAAGACTTATGACTTATTCTTATAACCATTATATGACTTATATCATAAAGCAAACTATACAAATAACTAAGCCAATGAATTAAACCAATACAACAGTGATTGTCCTGATACATCAGCTAACTCATAACAATAGAATTACATCACAACCACTATCAACGTGATATAAATAGACATTAAAATTTGAGAACATCCTAATAATTTTATATGGAGGAAACCATCCATCCAATAGTGTGAAATTCAAAGTTTTTAAGGTTTATCTATTTCAAGAGGCCACCTTGGTCCTACACTAATTTTGCAAAATTTACCTTTTTTATAGGCGCAGATCATAAATATGAGAATTAGAAAAAAAATGATAATGCAATGTTTGAATAAATCAGAAAAAAACAAGAAGAAATGTTGGTATAACAAGACATTTTGAAGAAATTAGGCCAAGAAAAGAATTCACCAAATTGGGAAATTTAGAACTTTTGTTGGTATAAGGAGATGGCTTATATCGGAACTAGATTGTTGCACATGAAGAATTCACACATCTAACTTGCACACATAAGCTAAAAAATTGAAAAAAAAATTTAATTGTGTCAAATTACATTTCTTCAACCATCTATTTATTGACTAATCAATCCTTTGTTACTAGATATGGTTGACGCAATATCGGCTCAATCTAATTCCAGATAATCATATAGTTCAAATTTTATGTAAAATCTAAAGCAATAGGAATTAAATCAGTTGCATAAAACGTTTTCTTGTGAAGTTAAACCTAGAACTTCAAAATCCCATAATTTGAATTGGCCTACACGTGAATCAATATTTGTAAAGACCCATGAAATAGAATTCTACGAGTATTAATATGAAATAGTGGCATAACCTTTTGATTTTTATAAACAAAAAAGTCGTGCAGGAGAAGCAACCAACACTATTATTATCCAGAATGGGATACCTGCTAAATTCCTGCACAATCTGCTCGGCTTTAGAAATTTTGATTAAGCTTTGATATTGTCTATAGATCTTTAAACTGAAGGATATCCAAGAACCAAGCCAACCACACCTCATTTTACAAAGCCATATTAACCAATCTAATACTTGGAAGCAACAAATGCAACCCTTCATCAAGGCCATCATCACATGCATGTTCCAAACTATTCAATTATTAAACAACATAAAAAAACTAGATAATAAAAAGAAATAAACTTTGCATAAATCATGGCTTGATATGATACTTCAGATGAGAATAAACATACAAATTTTCATCAAATCTACCCAACATGGACAATTCAACACTAAATTTAGCATTGGTTACTCATCATGCAAATCAATACATAAATTTTATGTTTTATGCTAACGGTCCATGAGCTATCACAAATAGGTTTATCCTGCTAGAGAATGAAATAGCTTTGAAATCAGTCATCAATAATAGATATAATTTCGTAATCTATGATAGTATTTGGAACAAGCTTTATATAAGTATCTAGTAGAGTTTTGGATGCTCATTCATATTGAGGATATGCCACATCTAATATATTGTGCATTCCTTGTTTGTAGATTAGGTTGCATGCAGCCTTATTGTGCACACTATTTATTTATTTATATTTCTTCTTCTTTTTGGTATATTATTTGGATGCAAACACTCTTTTGTTGAATCACTCATTGTTGATTTGATTTCTTCTTCTTCTTTTATTTAATTTATTCCATCTCCACTTTTTTGTAAATATATACAAGAGCTATTACTTTTGCTCAAAACATAAAGGTTGTTTGACTAAGTATTTTTCTATTTCAGTTGGATTACATCTAAGATTAGTTTTAAGCTCATATCTTTTTTATTTTAGTCAGAGATGTTCTTAATAGGCATTTGCAAGAGGATGTACCTTGGTGTATGCTTTTTGCTCACAATATTCTTCTTGTTGATGAAACTAGAGAGGGAGTTGATGAAAAACTTTAATTATGGAGTTCAATCTTAGAGTCTAAAGGTTTTTGTTTGAGTTGATCTAATACTGAATACATGAAGTGTAATTTTAGTAGTAATAGATCTTGTGGTGGGATTGTGAAATGATCAAGTCATTAAAAAGAGTGCACGTTTTAGATATCTCAGATCTATTATTCAAAGCGATGGTGAAATAAATAGAGATATTGTTAGTAGAATTCAAGTTGGATTGTTGAAGTGTAAGAATGCATCGGGCCTATTGTATTATAGAAAAGTACCCCATAAACTTAAGGTAAAATTTTATAAGATAATGGTGAAACCTGCAATGCTTATGGCACATAAAAGAGAAACATAAATTTAAGTTAAGTGTTGCAGAGATGAGGACACTCAAGTGGATGAGTGGCTTTACTCTTATAGATAAAATTTGAAATGAGTATATGATGAGGGCATCAGATCCCGACACGTGTACCTCATAAGATTTGATTCCTGGATTTACATCATATTACATCAGTATATACATGAAAAGGTTAGAGTAGTTTCAGTGGCAGATAATATTGTAGAAGATAGCCTTAGATGGTTTGGTCACATAAAACATCCGCCTTCTGATGACTTTGTTAGGAGAGTAGATGTATTAGATTTGACCTATGTTAAGAAAAGTAGAGGTATATTTGAATAGACTTGAATAGAAAGTATTAAATTTTACTTTTAAAAAAAAAATAGATTTAAATGAGAATTTGACTCTTAATAGAACACAATGGAGGAAAAAAAATTCATATAGTTGACCCCGTGCGGTGGGATAAAGGCTTGTTGTTGTTGTTATCATCATCATCTCAACTTTTGTCTACTTTTCTTGCTTTATTTCTTCTTAGTTTGCTATTCACTGCAATCAGCAGCTCTTCAACAATTGGTGATCTAGATCGAGCAATGGTGTCATGGGATTGCAAGGAGCAAATAGTCTCATCTCTTGTAGTTCTATTTATTGAGCTTCATTCTTTGAATTCCATCATTTGCACCTTTATTAGATTGTCAGTTGTCTTTGCCGATGATTGCCGTTTGTAGTCTGCTTGTTAAATTAATGAATTTGAATGCATCACATGGACAATTTCTGGAGTTTCAATTGATATTTTTTTATTATTTGTTACTTTTTAATCTCGGTATTCTCTAGGGTGTATTTTGTATCATGCATTTGATCTCAATGTGCCATGCATTATATTGCTAACTATGACATCACAATGTAAACTTTAACTGATTTCATCTTGGTGAAGAGGAGTTACATGATTTGGCTAAATTACTGGTGAAGAGGAGTTACATGATTTGGCTAAATTACATTTAACACAATAGGTAGCTCTAATAAATAAACATATCACACCACCATGTAGATTTTAACTTCATTGTCTCGGGGAGCCAAGAGAATAGTGAGAAGACCATGGACTTTCGTAATGATGCAAAATGCCATTCTTGTAATGGTATTTTTATGGGAAGTAAGTTTCCTTGCTCTTCTTAAGATTGTAATTATATTACCTTGAAAGAATGACAAGTGAGAGAGCGTAAGGTGTCAGAACTTGGCCTGAGAGCTTAGAGTATCATATTGAGAACAAATGGTGGGATGAGAATTTTGTTCTTGAACATTCTCACATCATTATAGAACAAAATATTTCAATTAGAGAAGAGCCAACTAAACTCATAAATTTTATTTATGAACTTTTCAGATATTATACACTTTCAGTTCATAATACATTTTTACATAAATACTGGCGCAAAATTATTACATTTAAAATTTTAGATTAACTAAGATCGAAGGCTATCCTTCTATATGCACGAAACTCTCTTTATGAATTTAGGCTAACAGGGATTTTTCTGAAAAATAGTTATCAACTAAATGATAGGTTAAAGAACTCGTTACGGTGGTCACTCTCTAAATTATATTCTATTAAAAGCTCACTATCTTATAACCTTTTTCAAACCTAAGTCTGGAGGGTAGGTAAGTTTTTCTATTTTTATTTATGTGCACGTATACGGTGCATCTCTAGTCAATATGGGAGTGAACTTTATTGTTGAAAATGGACATGCAATTACTCATATATAATATACTCATTTTTATTATTCTTGTCATGTACTTATTTTAATTATATAATTTGCCTAACATATCATGAAGTAGTTTTTTTAGATTCAACTATGAAAAGTACTTTGTGATGGTTCAATATGAGGATTTCATAAATGAAAGAGTGATAAGATTTCATAAATGAAAGAGTGATAATCACTTAAGGCATTTTGTAATAATAGTCTAGTATAGATGAAAATATTCTTAATACATATTAGAAATTATAAAATCAATGCGTTTGATTTAGATGAAGCAAAACTAATTACTACAAAATAGAAAATATAATTACCCGCCTTTACTTAGAAAATTAGTTTCTCCCTTTAAAGTTCTCCCATAGTGGCACCTATATCAATAAATAAATTTTTAATTAAGCCCTTTTTAAAATGTACGAAGCTCTTTCCTTGTTATAATTCCCACCATGTTACTTCTGTGTTGCATTTATTTGCAATTGTTCTTTATTTTTCTCAAGTTTAATGCTTAAATTTAATGCAATGTTGTCAATAAATTAAACATAAATTATTAGCTTTAGTTATTTTGAAATATATTTATTTCTCCCTGTTCTTTTTTGTATATTTTTTTAATAGAATTTTGGTTTCTTCTCCGCCCTCCCTTTTTTTTTCTTTTCAGCCTTTGCTTCACTTGCACTTTTGTAAGGAAGTTAGGCATTTCTTTTTAAAATGGATTATAATCTCAAGACATCTTAATTAGCTCGAGAACTTTGGTCCGAGTCTATGAACTCTGAATATAAGTAGCTATAATTTTCCTTTGATATGTATTAGTTATTTAATTTTCATTAAGTGTCAACATCATTAGTCTTATCAAAGCTAACTTTGGGGCAATTTTATGAATTATCATTTTTCATTCATGTATGTTGAGTATTGTATGAAATGTTTTGCATTTTTTTTTTAGCTTAACTTATATTCAGGTCACTTTGAGTCTATCCCTTTTTGTTCCTAGGCCTTCAACATTGATTTTATCAACCCATCTAAGAAGTTTATTGTGTAAATGCTGTACTTATCCTAACCAACCATGGGAAATTTCCACCACATTGTCTTTAATAGATGTTCTTATGGTTTCTCTTATATAATCATTTCTCAATCTATCCTTTCTAATTTTGTCATCCATTTGTCTTTATAATCTATCCTTCCTGGAACTTGCTTGTCGATGTCTTTTTATACTCACACACCAATCCATATAACATAAGTCAACCTAATTAGAATCTTATAAAATTTATTGTTAAATCTAAGATATTATCTTCTATCATCGTTCAATCTGCCCATTCTTTTGTGTAATAGATTTAAGATATTTATGCCCATCAGACTTGAATATCATTTTCGCAATGATATACAGTCTTTTTCACATATTTATCTGGGAATAAATTTTTCGATTCATGTATGAAAAGAAGATCCAAATAAACTATGAAGTTAGGATTAAATTGTTAGTTCAATTTTTGGTTTGAAAGGCCTGTTGGACATGCCTTGTAATTTATTCGTCATGCTGACCTTGCTCAGCTGTGTATTTTAAAATGTTTTGGTTGTGTTAGCTTTATTCCCAAGTTTTGTTTTTACTATGTTCTGATTCTTTATTTTTCTAAGTACACGGTCTTTTCCGATTAAGTAATAAGATGATGCACTTCTTTTATGGATATTTGAGGACTATTTAGTTATATTTTGGCAATGCAGATGGAAATTCGAGCTGATCTCATGGACGCACATATGTACGCATTCCAAAGGTTCAAAACCTTTCCATGAGGATCTAACTTATTATTTCTAATTTGCCATTATTTGGTAGTGACACTTTGGTATATGCAGGACAATTCTTCAGGAGGTTTTGGATCAAAAGGAAATGTTCCATAGCATTAAACATGATGTTTTCCCCTATCTTGTTAGGACACAACTGGTATTATAAACATATCAAATTTGCATTATACTTTATTTTGTATATTTTTAACTTATTCTCAATTCAGAGGTCAGAAATTTCGGATAAAGGGGCGCCAAAAAATGGATTGAATGGTGTAGATTATACCCTGAACGGTTCGGAACCCGCATCTGAAATTTTGACCAACAGAACGCATAAGTGCTGTGCTTATATTGCCAACAAAAGCAAGTATTGTTCCCGCTTGAATTCTGTTCAAGCTTTCTGTGATATTAATCGTGATGTAAGAACTACATCTATTTCATGTTTTTTTTAGGAACTTTGAAGTAGAGAATTAGTGTACTTGCATTTATGTGTTTACAAGTTTGTGAATGCATGTTAGAATGGATCTACTAACTTGTGGAATGGTGGGCCGGAGTGTTTTACAGCCCTAAGATTACTTCAAATTTTGTTGCCATTTACTTTTCCCATTAGGTACTCAAGTTTCTTTTACTGATGTGTTTTTGTACTAGGGGATATTGCGCCTTGTTAAACAAGAAGATATGTTCTCATATACTAAATTGCTGTGCTTATAGATGGCATGTCGCATTACCAGTTAATTGGACCATATTGAATTGAATATGCTTGTTTATGTGTCATTGGCGTGTGGCGTGCATATTTTGTACTTGTTTATATCATTATCCAATTCTTCCTTAGACCCTTAACATTTACCGATCATTTTCTAAATGCAGGTGGTAGGGGAGGCGGGTCACCTTTCTGGGTATTCTTTCTCAGCACAGAACAACATTGTTCATCCTTCTGCAGAACTCGGATCCAAAACTACTGTAAGCATTCTCTAGCTTTTTTTCTCTTGTAGTTGCTATGTCAACTGTTTATTCTTTCTCTTTTTTAAACCTATAAGATCCCAAGTTTGGGCCATGCCATTACTACACTTCCATCATTATGCCATTTTTAAAAGTAAATCTTTCATCTTTATCAGATACTATTACCTTTGGAATGCCATGTAAGCGAATGATTTTCTTTTACATACAATCTTGCTAGTTTCTTGACTAAATCTGTTTGCTTGGTAGGAAAAAAGTGAGCAGTTTTAGTCAATCTGTCGATTATTACCCATATGCAATTATGACTTTTTAGATATGGGTAATCCCATGACAAGGCACATTGTAATTTCTTCTCATTTTCATTTTGGGATGGGTAATGACTGCAATAGTCCACTTTGCCTTTGTTCAACTTTTACGATTTGACAAACTTGACATTTGGCCACATATTTCTTTTACTTCTTTCATGCCTGACCACCAAACTGCTTTCTGTATATCTTTATATATTTTCTTACTTCATAGTTGAAAGGAATATCTTGAGTGATGTACTTCATGAAAAACCTCTCACCTCAAATCCATACCACTGGGTACCCATAGACGTAGCTTATTCCTAATTGTACCTTCTTTATCCATAGTGATTTCTTGCCTATTTCCTGAATGTACTTGCTCCACTAGTTTTTGGTATTAATTGCTAGCCTTTTGAGCTTTCTTGATCCTATTTAATAGGGGTTTTACACCGCAACTTGATTAATTACGCTAGGATTTTCTAATTGCAAGGCTTCAAATTTTTAATCAATTCAAACTCTTAGAGTAATCATCCAATTTACCATACTTGGGATTTCCAACTTAATGTATCAGCTATTACATTTGCTTTTTTGGGCAATAGTAAATATTAAGGTTATAATCTTTAGTAAGTTAAGTCATTTTTTGCCTCAAATTTAGCTCTTTTTGTATAAAGATGTACTTTAAACTATGATGATTAGTAAATAATTCACATTTAACCTTATATAAATAATGTCTTCAAAATTTTAAAGCAAAAAGCATAGCTGCCAAATCTAGATCATGGGTTGGGTAGTTTCTCTCATATGACTTAGTTGCCTTGTCACCTTTCCATTTTGCACCAAACCTTTGATGATGCATTACTATAAATTTGAAATTCTTCTATTCTGGAAGGGTATAGTTAACACTTATGCAGTTAGACGCTTCTATAATTCTTGGAAACTGTTATCGCATTCCTCTGTTCATTCAAACTTAACCTCCTTCTTTCAGTGGACTTATCAATGGCTTAGCCATTTGTGAACATCCTTTAACAAATCTCAGATAATACCCAACCAAACCCAAAAAATTACGAACTTCCATTACATTCTTTGGTGTCGACCATTCTAATATTGCTTTTACCTTATCAAGATTCACTAATATTCCTTCTCCCTTGATTATATGTCCTAAAAATTATATACTATTTAACCAGAATTTATATTTTGAGAATAATTAAAAACTAAACAAACCACAATCTTATGTGTTTTCACGTTTCTTTTAGCCAAGTGGAGACAATCTTTTGTGTTTTCACGTTTCTTTTAGCTTACTAATTTGTCTTTCTAGATGTCAAGACTTAAAGCGTTTTGGCATTGGCAAATTGGGTTCACTGGTAGATTTGAGATAACAAAATCCTAGGATCTTAATCGGATTTATCTTTGTTGCCACAATCATTCCCTATATAAACTAAATATACGCCTAACAACGAGCTTATGTGACCTTAATTGAGAGTACTATCTCTTGATCAAAATACGTAATTAATTATGGGAATTTATGCCTATAAATGGTCTCAACGTTGGATATAAATCAACCTTGGGGAACCCTGGTCAATAAAATCATTTCGCCTTGAAAAAATTACTTGAGGTTCTCTCGCATGCATGAAGCTGCTTGAGAGGCTGCTAGAGAGGGTTGCTTTTTACATACATTCATAAGAAATTATTCTTTATGGTGGATTCATCATGAAGCATTTCAAATGTTTACTTAAACATTATTATTTTTTTATTTTTTAAAAATTCTTATTTGAAAAAATTATTTACCTTGACATATACCATATTTTCATTTATTTGCTTTTTTTGCAGTATATCTCTTCGGAAATATTATTTTATTTTATTATTTTGTCTTCATTATCTTTTATTTTATTTTATTTTTATTATCAATGGTTTTGGAATTGTTTATGATGAGTAAGGTTGGACCACAATGCATGCTTGATGAAGGTTCAAAGCTGGGTGACAAATGTAGTGTTAAACGATCTGTTATTGGCAGACACTGCAGAATTGGTTCTAATGTGAAGGTAGAGTAAGATTGAAAATTACTCATTCTGAAACAAATTTTACCTTTGCTAAACATTGATCGTAATATATATCTGCTGTCTATCTTGTCAAATCGGGATGACTTTGTGACATGAAATTCGATTTGCAGATCTTCAACTCTGTTGTAATGAATCATGTCACCATTGAAGATGGTTGCTTTATTCAAGGTTCTGTTATTTGCAATAATGCACAACTGCAAGAGCGCGTTGTTTTGAAGGATTGTCAGGTAACCTTTCCTTGTTACATTTAGATTCACAATGTATTGTTTGCGTGTTGGCTGATTGGTGAAACTTTATTTCCACTTAGTTTACTAGTATTCAAATCTAACTAGCATTTTACAGTTGCTCCTTTTCACTAGGATGATTGAGAAATATAACTTAAAAATTGTAATACTAGTAGATCATTGTACCAATGTTAATCATATACTCGGCGATAATATAACTATAGTGAATTGTACATATGTAGAGTCTACCTTAGATGTGGTATGGTAGATTAAGATTAAGTTGTGCTTTGCCTTGGGTTAGAACATTCTCTGGATGACAATTCACCTATTGCTTATAGCTCATCCACCTATTGGTTATAGCTTTAGCGAGCCCATGTTTTTCTAACAATTTTAGCTAATATTTGCTTTAAATGTCCATAATTGAAACATTAATTTCATAGAACTGTCTCATAGAAGTATATGGTGCTATTTATAATGATGTGTCAATTTGAAACTTCATAGTTGTGAACCAACCTATCTACATATATTTAAAATATACTCTCACTATAAGCTTTAACCATATCTACTTTTTATCAACTCTATGAATGTTTTTATAGTGGATGAAAAAGTGGAGGGTTGCATGTAACAACCCAACCTCTTAATGAAATTCCTACTATTACACCAATAGGCGTCCCAATGTTTAGGAGTTTAACTTATTTTTACTTAAGGGGTTTTACAATCTTCTCCACTTAAGTAATTGATGTCCTCATCAGTATTTTTATTCTAGAATCATCAACCAAGCAAATAGGATGCTAGAGGTGACCTCTACAAGTTCAAGTAGTGACTCCGTGGTGGGGAAGATTGTATGTAAAAAGTCTGAACTTGTAGGTGGGCTACCACGTAGCACTTTATCCTATACAGGGTTCAAGAGGGTGCTCACATGACGTAGCACTTTATCTTGTATGACATTTAGTTCTCATCTTCCGGCTGGTGTATTCTTTGATACCTTTTGTAACTACGCTAACTCTTAATGAAATTTCCACCATCATACCAAAAGGCGCCTCGATGTTTAAGAGTTTTATTTCTTTTTACTTAAGGGGTTCACATTGCATTAGGTAGTCGACAACCAATTTAAAATTTGTCAAATAATTATGACATGAATTCTTTAATAAGAGTTTTTGATTTATAAAGAAGTTACTCTAAGAAATTAGAATTAGGATAAGAACTTGGAGTATAGGTTCTCTTGCATGCAAATTAATGAAATTAATATTGTTGTGTCCTAGAATATTCGCGGCGGTGAAGAAATATAAAGTTTAACGTCTTAGCTTTGTACGAAAATCCAGCACACATACAGATAAAATAGAGATGGTACATCATTTATAAGAGATTAAAACCCATGAAAAGGGAAAAAACCACAGGGTCTGGCTCAGTTTGAATGAATCTACTAGTATTTGCAGTTGATTACAAATGAGGCCCTTCCTTGAGGGGAAGGCCTTGGATTGATGTAACAAATATGCATCATTACATGGTGGGAGTAGGAAGAATTATTGTTGACGCGTTCTGGTCGGAAGGATCATAGTCGGTGGGCGACTGAGGTCGGAAAGACCATGTAAAATTATAATAATTATTAAAAATTAGGATTTAAATTAATAGATGATATATCATCAAAATTTGATCCTTTTGGAGTTATTTGAAACCTCAAAGCCCAAGAACAAGTTATTCTGCAATTTCAAATCGTGTCAAAAATTCCCCAAAAGTTATAACATATATTTTCGAACTCTACAAGCTTCGTCATCCAAAAATAGGGGGGTAATTGATATATCATCAAAAAAATTATCTTAATCGAGAATCTTAAGGCAAAATCAAGTTAGAAACTTCAAAAATTAAATCAGAGATCATCTAAACTCCGATTTCAGCAAACTTATAGTCGAGCTGAACATCTCGAAAGTATGAACCCAACGACAGCAAATTTGACTCAATCCGAGCCCAAATGAGTCCAAATCAAGGACCCAAAGCACATTTGGAAGGTGCAATCTACAATTTGGATTACGAAATGGTTTCCAAACATGACATGCTTATAGCCGAATCGAGCGGCTCGATGTGACGAATCCAACAAGCCCAAGATCATCAAATTTTGATATCATTAAGACATTCAAATGTCCAGTAAACGTTCCATGATCAAGGGATTCAACATCGGTTGTCCATTCAAACCACTCCTAATTTACTCTTGATCTTCTTTCCATTTACTGGTCATGTCACTCTCAGAAAATTATAAATAGACCCCTCATTTCTCATGGAAGGGAGAGAGGAAGAAGGAGCCCAAGGAAGAAGAGAAGGAAGGGTTCTCTTGTCACCAGACTCCTCCTCGACCACCTCCCGGCGACCGATCGGTGCCAGATTTCTGCCATTCGTCACATTTCTACCCAACGCTAGATTTCCGCCCATCGTCAGATTTCTACCCAATACCGAACCTCCTCCCCTCGTCGGATTTCTACCCAACGTCGGACATTTGCCCGTCGCCAGACTATTCCCCGTACCGAACTTTCGTCGAACTTCTACCCGACGTCGAACTTCGGCCCGTCATCGGACCTTCATATGGTTCGACTTGTATGTTCAATTGCATGAAATTGTTCATACTATGTTTCTTATTGTCCCATATGTGATTTCAATTGATTAACATTTTGATTTAGGTTCAAACTTGGTTCTTGTTCAATAACATTTTGTCAAATTTGATTTGAGTTCAATCTTATATTCATGTCATGTTCAATTAGTGTCCAAATTAAGTTCAAGTTATTTGAATTTAGTTCGAGTTCGATGTGCAAGTTCACTTGAGTTCAAATCAGATTCCTTGCATCGTTCTTTTGAGTCCAAAATATATTCCATATGTTCGATTAAGTCCCTTTTTTTCAAGTCTTGCCTTGATTCACCGAAAATTTCGGCAGCCTCCCGGTGTTTCCCCCGTTTAGGGGAAACTACAATAGTCATAGCCTGACTGCCACGTCAAGAAAGACGTGTACGGTCGGTGTCGGGGGACACCGTAGCCATAGTATTCAATCCTAGCACGTCAAGAAAGGTGTGTATAGGTCTTCAGGGGTACCTGTTTGAAAACACAGTTGTTTCTTCGACAGCACACGTACGGTTACTTATGCTTTTGCCCCATCATGCTAAGAAAAGTGCGCACATGGCTCGCTTGCCTTATCGTAAGCGTCGCACCGAGTTTCCTCCTACCACGCTAAAAAAGCGTGCATAGGGTGTCTCTCAGCGTGCCGAAAATGCCGAAAACAAGACTTTAGGAGATTACCCGCCTTGTCCTAAGCATCGCAACGAGCTTCCTCCCACCATGCTAAGAAAAGCGTGCATATGTGGTTGCTCGCCGCACTACAAGCGTCGAGGACGGGTTTTCGGGTTTAGAAGATTATGCCTGCGTGGGACGATGGCGATGTTGACGGAGTTGGCATGAAGATCAAGGCCAAGAAAGCATTTTCTCTTTTTCATTTTCTTTTTCTTTTAATTAATTATAACATATATTTAAGTATAATTAATTATGATTAATAATAATTATTTACCATTAAAAATAATTAATTATAATTAACATATGACTAATTAATAATTAATTATAATTAAAATAATTAATCATAAATAAATTTAATTAAATATGATTAATTTATAATTAGTAACAATTATGCATAATTAGAAATAGTTAATTATAATTAATTTACTTATAATTAATTTATAATTAATAATAATAAATTATAATTAAAAATAATTAATTATAATTAAATCTAATTAATTATGATTAATTTAAATAAGATTTTAACATGATTTTAATAGGATTTATGTAGTTTTGAGCATGATTTGAGCAAATTCCTGTTTAAACAGCAGGATGCAATGAACTGTTAAATCTGATAGCAGTTGAATCCTCTGTCTCCCTCTTTTTTACTGTAAATCCAAATGGGATTTACAAACAAGATTTAGGGAATGTTAATTCCCACAACAAATTAAAGCCTCCATTTCTCGCATTTTAGCCCAATAGATTTGTAGGATTTGGTCGAATAAGCATGTGAAAGGGAGGGAGTTACCTTCACAGTGAGCGAGCTCCCGTCTCTGTTGAGGCTTCTGATTCAAAAGAAGGGGTCGGTTAGGGCTTGGTCGGAGCATGGAATGGAGATCTGGACAGAGGGAATAGGGGTTTCACGGGGTTTGGTAATTAGTTAGTATAGGCGGAGAGGTCGGTCTCTCTCTCCCTCTATCTTTAGGTCGGAGAAATCAGGAGGCCAGGCGAAGCTAGGGCAGAGGGGTCTACCGTGGGAGATGGAGGAATGAGCCTGGAGAGGTCAACAATGAGGAGGAGAGATTGGGTGTAGGCAATTAGAGAGGAGGAAGAGTGGGGATCGGGATAGGTGTTGTAGGCGGAAGGCAGTGATGGAAAGAGATGTTGTGTGGAAGATTTTCTTGTTCGTCTGGGTTGTTCGTGGATCGAAGGGAAGAGGCGGAGTCCAGGTGTGGAAGTTTTTGCTGTAGAGGGACGATCGTTTGAGCGTGGGGAAGGAGGAACCGAACGAACTGAGCTTCGTTTGTGTGTGAGACAAAGACCTTGTCCAAGCACGCGTGAGAAGGCAATAGTCAATGTCATTTGCAGAGGAATGGGTTATGTAGACATGGCAGGATTTGCGCATGATTTCGGGCAGGTATTATATATGTATATATATGATGCACCGACACGCGCCCGACGCTCTGACGCGTGTCAGACACGTCGAAAATGTGTCCGATTAAAAAAATATTAAAAATAAATTGGACACGCGTGTCCGATATGTGTCTTAAATATTTTATGAATTTTTTTAAATATAATTTCTTGTATTTAAATTTTTTACTTATTTAAAATATAAAAACTAAATATCTTATTTCATATCCACAACATCAAATCAATCGACCACACTTAATACCTCTTTCATCGAATATTCTAATTTTCAGTTCTCTTTGGCAGTGAAGGTATTTTCGTCTTCTCTCGATTACTGATAAACAACATTGACGTACGATACTCTATATATATATATATATATATATATATATTGGCTGTATAACATATTGGCTATATAACAGAGGTCAACACCCGCGAGGGGAGGGGACGTCGGTAGGCTGTTGAAATCGCTTGGAATATTGCAAGAAATATATTTTGGAGCCATTGGAGAGAAATTTTGAGATATTTAAATCTATTTTTTTAATATAATTAATTCATTTTAAAATACTCATTTAATTAATTGATTAACTTCAGACCAAAATTACATAATTTAAATTGGAGGAAGAAGACTAGGGCATGCGACAAAGATTTTTACGAAAATTCTGGAGAGGAAGTGATGTGTGGTTTTGTGTTTTTTGTTTTTCCTATTATATAAGTGACAAGACGCGTGAAGTGGATGATGTGGAGATGAGGTAGGGAATAGGATGCTAGATGGGCATAATGGGACATGGGTAGTGGAACCATGAGTGATAGATATCAAGCAACAGGATTATGGATGAGAGAAATTATATATGCACACACATATTAGAGCAAATTCTTCTTCATCTTTTTTATTATGTATTAACTCCTCTGTCTCATATTTTTCATGTGCGCACATCGGCAATTTACTTGTGAGACCGCGCCTTATGTGTCCTGATTTTGTGCTTAGTGCTTCATGCGCTCTGTTGGATTTTCGTGATCTTTCTCATGCGGTTATTTTGATAATGTGGGGGGTCATTTCTAGGCAATGCCGACATTGGACCGCTTCGACACGGTCCATTTCACAAAACAAGTGACAAATTATTAATTTTGGTTGCAGCCGAAGTATCTTGGACTAGATTTGCTCAACGTCGTATACGGTGTCTATCATTTTCAGTATGCTCTATTGAATCAGTTACATCGGTGATTTCGATGTCCCAAATACATTGGCACACTATGTTCTACTAAATAAATAATGTTTCAAGTGGTTCTAATTATGATTTAAGCATCTTGAATTCTTCTGATGTGAAGCTGCATTTGTTTTCCATTTTTGCTGTCGTGTTCAACCGTTTTTTGTGCTGTGTAGTTTATATTGATGTCAACACAAACAACCCATTTCTTTATCTGGTTTGATCACATTCCTTTATATAGCTATTATTTAACGTTCTACTTGAATATAAATTTTTTCGATCTTACATTTTAAGTTTTACTACCAAAATTTTAGCTTGCTAAATGTCGCATCAAGTATGGCTTAAAAGGTCAAACTTGATTTGGTTTATTCTTAATTCTTATGAAAGTTTTATCTTATTTTATTCTTAATTCTTATCTTATGTTTTCTACCAGGTTGGAGCAGGATACGTTTTGACGGTTGGAAGTGAATATAAATCTGAACCTTTGTCAAAGAAATAAAACTTCAGCCTTTGTGAGTATGTATTAGTTTTTATTTTTATTTTGCATTGTTACTGAAATTAGAAATGTTTAGCGCATGCTGCATAGGATTGAAATTGATTGAGGAAAGCAAAAGTGAGGTATATTTAAACATGAATTCTTTAATCATTTAAGTAAACTTTCCAAAGTTATTGTGCTTAAGCCTACCTAGTCATACTTCTTACAAATGTGCTGATTTTTTCTTACTTTTAATCCTATAAGGGTTGATAACTTTAGTTTTCTGATTAGTAAATCTTGTTATTAACGAATTTTTTGGCTTCTATATTACTTATTTCATTCATCTTCTTCTCTTGGTGATGTGTGTGGTTGACTCTTTACGGGCATCTGGATTTGCTTCAATAAGCTTGTCTTTCCAAATGAATTGTTTTCTACTCCTTCGATCACATTTTTTTTAGGAATTGGCTGCTCCGTTAGGAGATTTCACTTTTTAGGAAACAAAAATTCTTGCGGTCCGGTATAATATTTTTAGAACAGGTCGTAGCATACTGGTTTCTTCTTCAATGCCATTAACAAGAGGATCTAATACAGTAATGGAACAATAAAAAAAGATATGCATGTATCTATAAAGAGGATGAATTGTTAACAAGGTGTATATTTCTGGGTTTTCACTCTGAATTTTCCGGAACTGGGAATATCTATTTAATTACTTTTAGCTATGAAGGCTTCGCTCTTCCTTGAGGAAGTATTTTCATATCTGAATCAGTTTTCTCTTAGCCTTTATCTTTAATATCTTATATAAATGCCCTATCTACTAGACCGGGGAGGGATATTTTATGAAGTGGAGCATATGAGAACAAGAACAAACAAAAAAGGGTTTCTTCAGTAACATGGAAAAAGGTTGTAGAAAGTGGCGGGTACCCTTAAAATTGCAAATCTGGAAGAAATGAATATGATTTTGATTGTCATGTTAAGCTTGAAAATCTTTAAAAACGTTGGAGATATTCCCTTTGGAAAGTTTAATGTCTTCCGATTTGGAACATCTGTGGAAATGTCAGGAATGGTAGATTTGGCTAAATAATGCACCCCTTAGCTCTCTTTTACCTCACCTTTGGAGTATTCATGGCTATTGGAAGATGAGCTGTCTTTTAAAATAGAATTCCTTCTAGAACATTAGGAGTTGTTGGTAACTGGAACATCCCAGAAGTCTTCTACATTCTGATAAGGAAGCTTAATTGGATCAAGTTATCATGAGTGAACGCTTAACTATGAAGAATAATTTACCATAGATTGCTTCGTTAGTGCTCTAATTGCCCCTTTTACTGTCTTTTTGCGAAAGATTTTTAATCCATCATAAGGAAAACTTAATTTATTTTTTCTTGTATAGGGCAAAACAACAGTCTTTCTGTTAAGCTTCTTTTATTATCATGTCACTGTTACTTATGATTCACTTGGTTGCTTGTAGATGGAAACTATATTTCAGAAATTGATAATTTAAGTTTTTTCTTTTCTGAGTATCACATTGAAATCCTTATTTCTAAATTCAAGCAAGCAAATGAGTTATTCCAGTTCATTTGATTGCTTGCAGTTAGGAAATTTGTTTTGATTTTTTTGTTTTAAGTTAGAAATCAACACTACAAATCCATCAAATTTTCTTTATAAGTTTATTCTATCAAAAGAATAAAATATCAAATCATTATTTCGAAAACATATATTTTTTATCTACATGCAACAAATGAACCCTTCATATAGATAGTTTGAAATCTTACTTACTGAGGCTTCGTTTGGCACAACTTACTTATTACTGTTTAAAGCAGTTTTCTAGTTCAAAATTTAAAATTTTTGTACAAAAAAGCCGCTTTAAGAAGCAGTAAGAAAGCCGTTCCAAACGAAACCTGAATCTCAGCAAAAATTCTTGGAGATCAGTTCTGATGAAATTAATTCCATGTGCCAAATTATGCACAGGTGTACATAATATGAAAGAGCAGAAGATATGCCAGGTTCCTATTCAGAGCATGAAACAAGCAAAGGAAGCAGTAGTTATGCAGCCATTGGTAGTCTCCGAAGCCTTGTTGCATCTGTGTCTTCTGCTGCGAAAAAAAATTTGTTCCTTTCAGTTCTTAATGATCCTTAGGTGTTGATTACGATGGAAAAATAATCCCAAATGTCTTGCTTTGGCTCTATGGCCTCAAGTTTTGATCGTTTCTGCGGGGAACTATCCTTGCCCAGAAAAAGAGTGAACAATAACTTGGTAAAAATTCTCTTTTTTAATGGTATTTTTTAGATTGTTTTCTATGATCGTGAACTAATAGCGACAATAAATCTTTTGCATCTATTCAATCTTTAGTTCCAACTATTTTGCACATCCTCTCTTGCTTTTGCAATTATATTTTACATATTCTCCTTGTTTAATTATTTATTTTAAAGATTTTTTGTTGGTTTTTTAGTTAAGATTCAGATGCTGCATATAAAATTTTCTTTTATTTTTTAAATAATGAAATTAAATGTTACACGAGCTTTTTGAAGGAAGAAATTGCAAACATGCAACAAAAGATAAATAATCATGGTCTCTTTCTTGCTAACAGAAAGAAAAAATAATAATTCAAATCTGGTAATTCAGGTCACTAAATTAAGGATCAATATGCATGGAAGAGGCTATTGAAAAATGAAAAATTTCAAATTAATGAAGAAGGTTGATGATATTTTTGAAAAAAATATATATGTAAATTTAAATTATTCGCAGAAAGTTTTTCAACAAGAATGGATCAGCCAATTTATTTTCACCTATATGTAAATGGATCTACTTTGGTTGTGAACTTGTGATATCAAATGAAGTGGCATAATCATGAAAATTTATTAGGTGCGGAGTGAGCACCGTCCGCACAAGTATTGGGTACCTAGCGTTATTCAGTGGTACCCAGCGGTACCGAGTGCGGGTACCCCCTTATGTGTGAGGTTGAAATCATTATTTATAAGGAAGAAAGTAATTGATCAATTTTTCAAAAGCCAAGAATCCTTGACTAGCAATCCCTGATACTTTTGAATGTTTTTGCAAGAGACTTGTCTTTGGACATCACAATTAAACTTGCATAAACAAGATAAGTATTCCAATAAAATACTTGAAAGATTTTCCAATTTTTTTGTGAAGTATTTGCATATTTGTTAGTGCTTCCACAAAATGTTTTGGCGATTGATGATAAAAGAGTAAGTAAAAAAAAAAATTAAAATTCTAAATAAGATTTCATATTAGATAAAACTTTGGTTTGAGCAATTTTTTCTAAACCAAACAATCTTTTCACATAAAAAATTTCATGGATAAAGATAATGATATGTAAAAAAAAAAAAAAAAAAAATTCTAATTTGGTCATAAAAATTGGTTGAAGGCAGAAGCATTAAGAATTTGGCCACAAAAATTAGAAAAAAAAAAAACCTCCCAAAAATCGAATAGGCATAAATTTGCGGCGAAAAAGATACTAATAAAGAACATTCGGGGAGAATAGGCAATGCAAAAGTCTAAAGGAAACATCAAATTAAAAGTAGAAAAAGCTTCTCAAAATCGATCAAGATCTATAAAAATAGATTGTCATTTTGGTTGTTGACATTTGTTATTAATCCTCCTTTTCTCAATCTCTCTACCATAATTGACATTGACACAATGTTGCCTTGGTCTCCATCTCACTCTCACCCAATGCCATATTTTACAAAAACCAACCTCTTTTCAAAAGAAAATAAAAACTTCAAAGTAGATGACCTCCTAAACTCATTTCATAACTATATTCTAATAAGACAATCAACTTATTTTTAGAAAAAGCATGGAGTTTCTAATTAGGGATTTCAAATCTTAATCAATTGGTCGAAGTTGAGTTTTTTTCATAATTTTTAATTTCAATTGAAAAAATAATTGATCGGGATGTCCAAGGGTCAGGGTTCACATAATGAATAGTGATACCAATGTATGACACCCTCAACTTGCCTCATATTGCCTTGAAGGCATCATTTTGAAATATATAAATTTAATTGGGCCTAATGACATTCCTCTCCAAGGCAAGATATATGAATATGGTGGCCAAGCTTCAAAACTATCTAGTTAAGTTTAACCCCACCATCGGCCGCTCATTATCGTCATCGATCACCACCGTCCTTCCATCAACCACTGACGATCACTGTCTTTGGAGTTATACTACCTTCATCATTTGCACTTATTTAACTTTCATCCAAATAACTTTAAAGCATTTTTTTTTTCAGCCAATCAAATAGCCCCTAAGTGTCTTGACGACTTGGAACTCATTCAATCTTTTATAATTTTTTGCTCATTGCTCTACAAAATTTATTATGAGAATGATTGATCTCTTATCGCTACAAAGAAAGAGTGGTTGTCATTTTTTGCTAACTTAACACAACACTCAAATAATTGATATTTTAATATCACTACTTCTTTGACTATATTTACTCTCTTATGTTAATCTTTGACATTAAAGTGCATTACCTCAATAAACTTTGTATTCACACTATCCAAAATAGTGCCCATATCTTCATCCAAATGCTACTATAAAACTTAAAAGAAAGAAGCATATTAGTCTAGAATAATTTTCAATAAAATGAGAAGGAAGAAGGCTTACTAGCCCAAAAATTAGAAAAAAAAAAAACTCACAAAAATCGAATAGGCATAAATTTGCGACGAAAAAGATACTAATAAAGAACATTCGGGGAGAATAGGCAATGCAAAAGTCTGAAGGAAACATCAAATTAAAAGTAGAAAAAGCTTTCCAAAATCGATCAAGATCTATAAAAATAGATTGTCATTTTGGTTGTTGACATTTGTTATTAATCCTCCTTTCCTCAATCTCTTTACCATACTTGACATTGAAACAATGTGATATTTGTGATATTTTACAACAATGCCATATTTTACAAAAACCAACCTCTTTTCAAAAGAAAATAAAAACTTCAAAGTAGATGACCTCCTAAACTCATTTCATAACTATATTCTAATAAGACAATCAACTTATTTTTAGAAAAAACATGGAGTTTCTAATTAGGGATTTCAAATCTTAATCAATTGGTCGAAGTTGAGTTTTTTTTTCATAATAATTTTTAATTTCTTTTAAAAGAATTTTTGAAAATCCGTTCATAGTGTATATATATATATAGTTTTAAAACAAGGGAGGCAATGTATTTTAAATGTATTTCAAAATTCCTTAGCCTGTCTTTTAAAGAATTTTTTACTCGAAAAAATACACCAAAGACACCTATTATTTTTATACGCATGCAATTATATCAAAGAGGAATAACTTGTTTCGCAATCTCGATGGAAGATCCTTGTTGATGTTTAAGGAGTTAACGCGCCTTAAAATCACAATCATTTTTATCTTCCATGTTTTAAGGACATGAATTGTCTTGTCTATAGTCTTATAAATCTATATGTTTAAAATAAGAGAAATTAATGGGATTGTAATTTTTTTTAATCCAATTAACATGAATTTTGATGCAAGTTTTAGATCTTGAAGCACTTATGAATTGAACTAACTTTTGTAAATTATTTCAAGAACCAAATAGACTTTGAATTCTACAAATCTATATTCAAAATGGTTGTATTGTTAACCATGTTTGATCCATGAATTGCATATCAAATTGGCCCAATTCAAGCTAATTTTGAGGGCAACCTCCTCACCACCTCATCATATATCACATTGTTCAACTATTTAGATATGGACTTCTTAGAGTTCTTGCAATCTCAACAAGCCTTTGATTCACAAGTCATTTGCAATTTTGGAGTGCTTTTGAAGATGAGAATGTTTTGACACAAATAATACTATATTTTCTTTATTTTCAGACAACCCTAAATTTGATCTTTACAAATTCTCAAATTTATCTAGCCTTTGAAATTTTGATCTATCAACTCTTTTGAATTCGTAACTTCGAGATCTTCAAAATGATATTGATGAAGGGTCTGCCCCAAACAGGACCACAAATGATGCTGATAAGCTTCTCCTTCTACTAATATATAAACACAGGGCATAACCAAAGTTGTATGAACAATAATGAAATACAAAAGATGCTACAGCTCTATACTTTTCTTCACTCAGTTCTTTATGATTCTATCTTCTCTACAGACCCCCTAATGGTTCTCTTGTGCTAGCCCTACCCATGTAGGTCCATCAAGGTAGTTGAAGTGCAAGATCTTCAATCACCTTCCCAATCAACCACTTATGAGATGAAAAGACCTATGTTATTTGATGTTAATACAAAATTGATAGATTCTAATAAAAATTTATTGAAATTTTAATTTTTGTATTAGAAAGCTACTTTAAGAAGCAGTAAAAAACCAGCCTCAAACAAAACCTAAGACAATAAATTCCTCTCGTTTTATCACCATAATATTCTAGCGCGCATATATGTATATAAGAAAACACGAGTATATATCCAGCGAGTTTCAAATTTTAAATATAATTATGAGCTCTACAAGCCACCGGCTTTGCATGAACCTGCTCAGCAAACTTTTTCATCTACCAATTTCAATAATGCTTAGAACACTTCATTTCAACTTACATGTTTAAGGTTTCATTTCCAGTGCTGAGAAGCCACAAATATCCCTTTTACACTTCTATAGTAATTTAATTGACCTCTGTACACATAACAGATTATATCTCATTTGCCTATAACTTATTATGTTAATTCACAATAAATGTGTGTATCTAAAGTTCTTCAAATGGACTTCTAAAATTTCTTGTTAAATCAGTCATTCAATAACAACTTCTCAATCTACTTTACAGAAAGAAGCAGTTTTTCATGCATTGTAAGAGGAAATTCCAAAAGAAAACTCATTCAGAAGTTGCAAGAATAGAACTCTTATTTCTTCATTAGAGCAGAAACAACTTTTAAAAAATAGCCTATCAGACCAAAAAGATATTCAAGTAGAACAACATATGCAATTTTTTAAAAAAATGTAGACTAAAAAGATAGTTAAAGCTACTGCATGGGAAGTCACGGTGTAGCAGTACGGTGCGATCACCCCTAAGCAGTTGTGAGCATTCAAGCGCTCACATTCAATTACATTATATGCAGCTCATCTTAGCATGTTCATTGAGAGCTTAGACTGTCAACCAAGAGACCTCGAGTTCATGGCTTCTACATATAGTATATCTAAGTTTAGATTTAATTCCCTCAAACTACAAGAAAAATATTTCTGGAAACCAGCTCATTGCATTCATAAAGGATTTGATGAGCAGCACAGTTCACAAAGGACGATTTGTTAATATTGTGTTATTTCCTAAACTAAAACTGCACAAATATTAGAGAGATGGATAGATAAATCCACAAGTCATGAAAAAACTATATAAATATTGTATTTTTCATGTTTCTGCAAAAGTCAAATTATCAAAGCACTTTTAAAAATATTAGAAACGGAGGCCTTTAAACATACACATGTTGGGTGCCTTATTGTGTACATAATAATGCCTGTTTGTCCTCACTCTCTATTTCTTCTCATCAACTGTTATATGAGACGTTAAATCTATGTTTCACAAATCTTTTTTGTACAATTTGTGCTTCTGTTCATGTTAAGATTAAATTTGAAGTCAAATAAAGAGAAAGAAAGAGATAACAACATAGGACAAAAATAATAATAATGGTATCTAATTAATGCTGGCAACTGAAAAAAAAATGATATGAAGAAGCAATTCCTTATTTCTAGAAAAGAAATTTGGCTAATTCATTCAGTCAATTACATAAAATTGAGCACAACAAAAATAGTATTTATAAAACAAGAAGCAAAACCATTACAGTAAATGTAAAACCAAAGAGACGTGGAGCCAAACCTGCAGAGTTAACCAGACAACCAGCTACACATTTTTATTCTTCTTCATCTTTGATGGAGGCCATCTACCCTTCTTTCTCATTCTTCGCTTTCGAACAAGACGTTTCCTTCGTAATCTGATCTTCTTTGCAAGCTTCATCCTCAACTTCTGCTCAAGCAACATTTGTTTTTTTGATTCCAAGGGAAGGCTTTCCACTGATACAGGCTTGTCTGATCCTTCCAAGGGTGGCAATTCTGATCCACTTGCATTAGTCTCCAGAGAAGCATGAACTACTATAAATGTTCTTTTAGGAACTCCATAAAAACCAGGAACTCTAATTCCACGAGAGGACACTTTTTGCAAGGTGGAGTATTTCCTCCATAATTTCATTTCTGGGAATAAAAAATATGAAAGTCAAATTATCAAATGAAACTCCAAATTTATTTATAGGAAAACCCATTGGAACAATGAAGTTACAGAACGGGCAAAATGACCAGAAAGGACAAGTTAGCTGGGAGATTGAAAGCTGACCAATATGAAATCAAACTGATTCATGCCTAACTATTTTCAATCTTATTATGAAAGAAATTCTGAAAAGTGCCATTAGAAATGAATGATAAAAACCAGATGATGTTTCCATTGCTGGAATGCAAGACAGAAAGCAGTAGTAAAAAACAACCAGCAAAAAAGCAAGGCAGCATGCAGCAGTCAGTAATTAGAAGCTTAAGCAAATTGAACAACAAAAGACAAGTTAAATTTACAGTAGCAACAAGGGCATTAGCAACAAGCGGCAGCCAATGGCAGCAATGCAGTGGTGAAGCATAACACGGGTTAGCAACGGCATGGAGAATTACAAACCTTCAGCTTGCTGCTATAGTGGACACACCGAAGCCTGCAACTTGCTGCAGGACAGGGAAAACAAAGTCGGTTCATGGGATTTTAGAGAGGAAAAGGGGAAGGAAAAGAAATTAGAGCAAGAATTCTCTGATTAATTTCTTATGAATTTCAAGACTATAAATAAGCAATTACAGCAGATCTTTAATATAATCAACTTATCCAAACAAAATAAAAAATTAAATTTATGCTTATCCTGCTATAATCTGAGATTTGAAACAATATTCTGTTATGAAGGCTTGATCTCCCTCATTTGAAGTTTGACTAATGATCTGATTTAGCCTATGGATTTTTGTAACATCCTATACATTCTTAATGGTGTAATATGAGAATTACCATCCTTGGCAACTATGGAGAAATCAGATATTTAAATTTCAATGAAAACGATTGATTTAATATTTTTACAATCTGATGGCAAAATCATGATTATAAGTAAACTGATGGATCACCTAATAGATCTTATGGCCAAATCATGGGTCCTCACTTAGGAGAATTTCATACATATGAAATCAAAACTTCATGTGCAGTAAGGCTTACTTCTAGCTTATTATACCACGTCCTTGTCTTTAACAACTGACCTTATAGAATGTTTCTACGATATTTCAGAAACTTCTTTTGAGAACTTCTTAATTCATGTAGCTTGGATGGCATTTCGCCTTTAGGTCCCTCCTACAAATGTCCAAAGTCATACCTCAAGTGTGCTACTTGGTTTGACATATTTCTATGGTAATATTTTGTCTTTCAAACATGTCAAATTTGATGAAGCATTAATTTCTTCTCATCATGCTTGCATTGGCACGATGGCAACTCTTCATGCTCCTTTTACAGTAATGAAGTCTTCTCCAGTTTTGCTATTTCTTTGTCCATTGTTCTTTTATAAGACAGGATTTTCTTCCTTTTGGATGTCTTCGGATGGCTGAAGGTACATCATTTTGTATTTGCATGAGGTTGTACGTGACCTTAGCCACTCCTAGAATGCCTTCCCTAGCTAATGTTGATGACTAACTTAATGTACATTGGCAGATTTGGCAATGATTTGTTGGTGATAGTCCATTGTGATGCTCCTCAATCAGCTTATACATCTGAATGTCACCTTCTTTGTCCAGTGTAGAGACAGCATGACTTCACTTTACCTCTTCAACAGGGCGGGCCAACATCAACAGGAATTTCTGACCTGCATTGATGAGTCCACCAGCTTACATTGTTATTACTGCATCTGCCATTGGCGTGCAACAGTCTTTTCTCAGTAAAATGGTATTTCAGTTGTAAATTGTCACTGATAAGGTTGTCAATGTTGAATCAAATTTCAAAAGGCCCATAGAACTTACTAGAGCAATTGATTTTGTAATTGGGAGAGCCATCACTAATCTTCCTTACTTTTTTTTTGGGAGAAAAAGAACTTTCTTCGGATAGATATTGAGCCTTCTCCTTCTATCTTCATTCTCGTGCTTTATGGCCATGGATCATGCGTTTCTGCTTGAAATCGATGATTTGGAACAAGTGAAATTCATTTGCAATTAAGAAAATAAGTTATGAGGTGTATTTTTCCACAGCTTGTTCTGCCTCATAATTTATTTGTAAAGTGATTGCCTAATGTTAAAATTTTGTGATGTATTCCTACATGGATTCCCCTCGCTACTGCCTCAAACTATGCTACTTCCACCAATATTCTACATTACTCCATTGGGAAGAATTCTCAATATATAAGCTTCTTGAACAACCCCAAAGTCACCACTTAACAGTCATTCGATGCATCTCTGAGACAAAAGTGCCTCTCCTTTGTCTTTATATCTTCCCTTTGTTTGTATCATGCATAAAGGATTGATGCTCTGATACAAACTTAAGCTGCAGTCAACCTCTTAACAATGTGATGAAATTTCACAATAAGAGGCTAGAATGGAGAGAAGAAGGTTTTAGGAAATTTTCAAGATTTTTTTGTTTATCTATCGATCAAATAAAGATACCTTGAGCATTATTTCACATTGTAAATTGATTTACCCTCTCAAATCTTTTTCATTCTTGATGAAAACAGCAAGAATACTCTCTGTATTGAACTCCTGGTTGGATTACAGCAACTCCCCTTCATCTTAACTCAAATATACAAAATCATGTTGTGAGAATTTTATATATTTTCTTCAGTTTTATGTTTAGAGCTTTCAATTATGTGATTATGTCTACTGATGCATCCAAAAGATTAATAAATATCTAGCTATCATAGTTGGTTGTATGATATGTTCGAACATGAATGTGTCTTGAGTTTTGAGATTGAATGAAAGGTACATACCCTAAATATCACATGGTTTTTTCGACTCAAAATAACTCCAATCTCATTCAGAATTCGACTTGATCAAAATCAACAAAACTCATTAGCATAGCTTTTGTCGGTAATTTCTCTTTCTTTCTTTCAAATAGAACCACCTCGAATTCAAAATTTGGCTTATCCCAATTTAAACAAGTAGAAGAAAAAAAAGTTCGTAACAGCCGCCATGCCCATAGAATAAGTTCGCAACAGGGAAATCACATAAAACACAAAAAGCAAAAAACAAAAAAAAAAAACAAAAAACAAAAAAAAAAACTTCAATCAATGTGCTTCACAAGAGAACCATGCCAAAACAAGCAGATCATCTGCTATCATCGAGAATCACAGAAAGAATGGAGCTCAAAACGGTTAAAGTGAGTGACTACCGAAGAAAGAGGGCGCCATTGGGAGAATGGGAGGACTTCTTATCCCCGTAGTTGTGTTTGCTTGAGTGAGAACGAAGAGGGAGGAGATTGGAGCCAGCGAAACTGCCATGGTTGCGGCAGCTGCTTCTGATTCTTCCTTTTTTAAGAATTGATAGATCGAGAGGGTGCGCAGGGACATTATCCGATATCGACTTGCATGGTTTAGAGATGGTCATTTGGACCGGGTTCAAACCGGTGCCGTCCAATAATCATTTAAAAAAAGGGATATATATAGATCGAGTGGATATATATAATATCTAAAATTCTAATATTAAATATCTATCATTCATAAAATAATTATGAGTGTATTAAATAAAGTATTTAAATTTAAAGAAATTTATATACATATCATTTTATTTTTAAGTTTATTTACATATATATTATATAATACTTAAAATTTTAATATTACATTCTTACATCTTATATACAACTTTAATATCAAATATATCACTCATATATTTTATTCCGCTCACATCATCATATAAACTTTAGTATTTAAATTTATATACGAATATTTATTCTATGAATGGTAAGTATATAATATTAAATTTTAGATATTAGATATATAAATAATATAAAATAAAATGATATTTATGTAAATCTCTAATTAAAAAATAATCATTACATATAAAAAAATTGTGATATCAATGTAAATGCACAATCTAAAGCTGTGAATGGTAAGTATATAATATTAAATTTTAGATATTAGATATATAAATAATATAAAATAAAATGATATTTATGTAAATCTCCAATTAAAAAATAATCATTACATATAAAAATGTTGTGATATCAATGTAAATGCACAATCTAAAGCTGCGCATAATGGCTTCAACAATTCGTAGTATTTGCAAAGCATAAATGGATCACCAAGCAGGCCTTTTTCGTTCAGAATGATTGCATTCACGTTTTTGAATCCTAAAACCGCCATTAGCACCATTGTCCTCAGAAAGGTCTCACCTTTATCTCTTCTCCGTGCTGTGAGCCATTACTCGTGCCTCGGAGCAACAGCCACCAGAGAAGAACAAGACACTGTCGCGCTCCCGAGCTTCGACTTGCGAGAACAAGTCCTCGTCTCCCTGTTTCATCCATGCTCCACTATGCGCGAGCTCTCCCAAATCCACGCTCTCATCATAAGATCCGGCTTTGCTCAGCATGTCTTCGTCGTCGGCCGCCTTATCTCCTTCTGCGCCGTCTCCGAATTGGGCTCAATGAAGTACGGCAATGGTGTCTTTGAAGAACTAAACTTGCCAGATGCATTTATTTACAACACCATGATCCGAGGCTTCGTGAGAACGGGAAGCGACGAAGAGGCTTTGACCTGCTTCAAGAGGATGAGGAAGGATGGGAAAGCAGCGGATAACTTCACCTTCTCCTTCCTCCTGAAGCTATGCGGTAAGTTATCAATGGTCGAGCTAGGGAAACAGGTGCATTGCTCTCTTCTTAAGGATGGATACGAGGTTCATACCTTCGTGCGGAACACCCTTATTCATATGTACGCAATGTTCAGACATTTGGCAGCTGCACGCCACCTATTTGATGAAATGCCTGTTAAGGATTTGGTCTCCTGGAACGCTCTTATTGATGGACTAGTCCATTGTATGCAGTATAAAGAAGCATTAAGACTGTTTGTGAAAATGCAGGAAAGTCGCATTGTTCCGGATGCAGCCACATTTGTCGTGGTTCTTTCTGCCTGTGCAGAGTTTGGTGAGCTGAGTTTTGGTCAGCGAATTCATTCCAAAATCAGTACCTGTGTGCTGGATGAGTTCATCTCTGTATCAAATTCTTTGATTGATATGTATTCAAAGTGTGGGGCTATTGACTTGGCGATCCTGGTTTTCCAAGGGATGAAAGAGAGGAACACAGTGTCATGGAATTCGATGATTCTAGGACTAGCAATGCATGGCCGTGCACGTGATGCTTTGCATCTATTTGAAGAAATGCGGCTAAGAGAGGTTGATGAGCCCAATGGCATTACCTTTCTTGGTGTTCTTTGTGCTTGCAGCCATGGAGGTTTGGTTGAAGAAGGAAAAAGATACTTCCATTGCATGAAAAGGGATTATGGAATTGACCCTGCTGTGCAGCACTATGGATGCATGGTAGATCTTCTTGGGAGAACTGGGCTGTTAGGAGAGGCCTATGAGCTCATAAGAAGCATGCCCAGTGGGGGGAATGCTGTGATGTGGAGAACATTGTTGGGGGCTTGCCGAGTTCATGGGGACCTTGAGATGGGGGAGAGTGTAAGGAAGCATCTTATAGAATTGGAGCCTGACCATAGCAGTGATTTTGTACTACTTTCACATATGTATGCAATGGTTGGAAGATGGAATGATGTGCTTAATGTTAGAGAGGATATGTTAGGGGTGGGAGTTCAGAAGCCGCAACCAGGAAACAGCTTTATTGATTCCTTTCCTTGTGCCGAGATGTTGACCCCTACACATGGTATACCATAGAAATAAAGGCACAGATTTTATTTCCAGCGATTTGGAAACATACTGAAGAAGTAAGGGCATCTCCAATCAAAAATATCATTTTTCACTCCAAAATACATTGAAACTAATGTTCGTAGATTGAAACTAATGTAAGGGCATCTCTTTTGTGAAGGTAACGGTCTTTCTCTTCTTTCGCACTTTTCTTCGGCAAATTCGGTAGAGACAAAAAAATAACGGAGATGAACAGTGCAACGCCAATATTGGCGTCACATTATTCACCTGCAACCAAATAGCGGAAATTTAACCGTTCGGCTGAAGCTCGCGAGCAACGCTATTCATACGTTTGGAGTTCGGTTGGAGAAGGCCTAAGTGCTTTATTTCACATCATGTTTTGATTTGCATTATCATGTTTATAAATTCGGACATAATTTATTTTAGCAATTTGTATATTCTGAAGGTTCATGTAATGCTGTGACCACTGCACCCTACTAAAGGTCAGGGTTAAATTGCTGGATTAGTTCTAGAATAGGGAGAGATCATTTCGCCTGGGTAAAGGTCGATTTGCTCGGACCTCTTCCCTAACCTGCTGTTGATACATTGGCATCGCCCGAATGAGAGGCGAATCTCCACCGTCAGCCGCTGCACGTCGGCCGCCACGTCGTCAATTCTCCGCTTGACGCGTTCTTGATCAGCCCAAAGCATCTCAAGAGTTCGAACTTCCTCTGTCGCCGGCTCCTTGCCCTTGTCCGCCATTTCTCTCCAGGTGATGGCTCTGATACCAACTGACGCCTTCTACAGGATCTGTGTACCTGGAACAGAAAAATACAAGTAATGGCAAGCGAAAAACCAGGATTCGGATAAGAATACCTCTGTATTCTGGTTTGTATTACTGTTGTAATAAGGAAGAAGACAACTGAGCTCCTTTCTCTCCTTTTCCTCTATGTATAAACACCTTTTTCTAAATACTATATTTGTAAAAAGTAATAAAAAAGGCTATAACTAACAGCTAAATAGAAAATAGTAAATAGAGTAGTGGGAGACTAGGTGGTTCGTTAGGGGGATAACGTGTGTCGCCAGAACAAATAACTATCCTGCATTGCATCAAGATCATTAGATGAATAGCTAGTTTAGGGTTCACCAACCAGATTGCTATATCAACTTGAACATGCATATTAAGAGGGGGAAAAAAAGAATTTTATAGGATGATTTTGGATGATTCTATTTCGGAATTTTCTCTTAAGAGTAATTAATTAGATAACTTAAAAGAAAGAGGTGGTAATTTGGCATTTGCATGAGATGGTCAACAATGGATTGAGAAATTAGTTTGGGAGTGGTATCATATTGATGGGAACAAAGAGCAAAAGTTAGATTTTCACGAATATGCAAGGTCTTGTGGATCCGTGAAATAGTAATTATTGCTTTAAAGGAGATGGAGTGGTAACACCAAAGGTCTAGAGTGTTGAGAAAAGCATGATTAGGAAAAACCTTTTCGTTGAAATGTAGAAATGTGGATGAAGTAAATGGCTCATATTTTTGTTTAATCCCGCTTGCAGAGGAAGAAAATCAAACCCTAAAATGGGATCTCATTAGAAACTAGAAATGACCAAAATACTCTTAGGAGTTGTTTGGTTGAAGAAAAGTGAATGCATTGCATTTCTAATGCATGGGGTTTGAACTTTTGGGTATTTGGTTGGATGAAAAGCAAATCCAAGTTAAAGTAAATGCAGTGTATTTAATTCTAGTTCATTTTTTTAGGTAAAGCTTTCTCGCCAAATTTGGACGAGAATGCTTTACACATCTCGCTCCTTACTTGGCCACCGCCTACGGCCACCGTCTCCATCGTCCATCACCCGTGATTGGCCACCCACCTCTGCCCAACGTTGTCGTTCACCTCCCACCACCCCAGGCATCGGCCGCCGACGGCCGCCACCTTGCAACTTTACATTGTATTCACTTTCCTTCAAAAAAAAAAAAAAAAGTAAAATCATGTGTTTCTTTTACACCATCCAAACAGTTCTAAAGTATTCTTTTTATACTGCATTCTTTTTACATTACATTCTCTTTACACTTTATTCTTTTTTCAGGCAACCAAATAGACCTTACTAAATCTTAAAAACTACATATATATTATATTAAACGTCTAGCTAAATGAATTATATTTGAACAAGTTTTAATTGATAGACAGATGAACATCCTAAGAAGGTACTAATTGAACTATGAACAAACCTATGACTGAACATATATAAAAAATCTTGAATCATATACTTAAACTTCATGCTCTTAAAAATTATTCAAATTTGTTTAATTTTAAATTGAATGAGTTTGAATATGTATCAATCAAGCAGAATTTCAAGTTTTTCACGAAGCCATTGGTTTGTTTGACCTACGACTAATGTTTTTTTGACTTTATGTTTAAATGAGTTAATCTTTCATACTTCGATATGTACATATATGTTATATGTCCTTTTTCTAAGATGTTACTTTCTATTGCCGTTCTTTTGTAGGAATGAACGGTGATGAAGTAATAATGAAGCTGGTTTTGTAGCTGGGATATGGCTGGTGATCTTATTCACTGTTCCTTATATGCTTGGGCATGGACATTCAAAGAAATCCCCTGATTTCTCAGCCAGTTAGGCTTGGCCAAATGCGTTGGAGGAGCTGTTTCAATTGAACCTGGTGTGGCGTTGTTACTGTTCTGTTCTACCTGATGTGTACCTTTAATCGGTAAACATAATAAGGCCATCCTCATCACCTAATAGATGTGTTTTTACTCATTAATGAAGACATTCCTTCAGCACATTGGCTAGCTAGTAATGTTCTATATTTATTATGCAGTGTTACTCGGGAATTACCATCACTATGGAAGTTTCAATCTAGTATATGGTGCAATGGAAATTAAGCCCTCGTTGCAGGATTCATTCTTGCACTTGGATTCATTGTTTCACCGGGCAATGCTCGAAGAACACACAACAGGCTCTTTCGTTTGTGGAATTCTGGGTAATTCTTAAGCCTGAGAATTATTAATCTTGTATATGTTTTGGATGTTTGAGGTGTGATTATCTTTTATAAAGCACCTGTTGTCTTTCTTATTTTATTTTATTTATTATATTTTCAGTCATTTAATTAAATTTGCATGATATTATTAAAAAAAAAACTTCATGATTTCATGCAGCAAGTGGAAGCAGTCTTGGATGTAATGGTTCTTACTCATACTAGGCAATTCTAGTGGTGGAAATTGGTACCAGAAAAAAAAAAAACAAGAAATGGATGGGCAGAGAACATCAGGGACTGCTTTAAATAAATTTGCGGGAGAGGTGCAGTTTAATTTACCCTAAGGGCTCATTTGGTTGTAGTTAGAGAACTTGTTTTAGAAATTTATTTCATTCATTCATTTATGTGACAATAAAATCATTATATTTGGGGGAGTTTTTAGGATATTTTTAAAATTTGAAATTAGTGTAGATTTCTAATTACATACAATTAAATGATGTATTTCATAAGTTTCACCATTTTCAATACAGGTTTTCTAACTTAAAGCATTCAAACAAGCCTTAATAGAGATAATGCTGGTACATGGTACAAGTGAAGGCTGATACTAGGGGTGTCAAAATGGGTCGACGGGTCGGGTTTGGCTCCAATCCGAATTGACCTGGATTCAAACGGGTTTGACACTAATCTGACCTGGTTTTGCAAACGGGTCAGGATTGTCAACCCGGGCTCGACCCGTGCGGGTTGTCTGGTTGATCAAACTCGACTCGCGAGGGTGTAGCAATCATGCGCTCGCGGCATAGGCGCACAGTGGGTTCAGCCATTTGCGGCTTTGCGCTACAGGATGAGCCAGCACGTGCAGGACGACGACAGTGGCAGAACAGGCAGGACGGCGGCACCGTGGTAGGCTGGCAGTGGCAGCTCGAACTCAACGCGAGTGACACGATGATGTAGAGACCGAGTGACGAGACAGGTCACATGGGATGTTACAAATGGGCCAATACAATTGGTTTCAAGTTTTCGGGTCAATCCGAACCCGACCTGGTTTTATAAATGAGTCGGAATTACAAATCCGAACCCAACCCATATGACAAACGGGTTAACCCGAACCCAAACTTTTTTGGGTATGATTCGGGTCAGATTTCGGATCGTGTCGCATTTTGACACCCCTAGCTGATACAATTAATGGACAATGCTCCTGCACTAGGAAGGTTATTACAGCTTTAATTGCTTAGGCATGGAGAACTCCTGATGCATGGAAAGGTGTTTTTATGCGACAAGCTATTGAATCATACACCGAGCCGTTGGTCGGTCGACTCTACTACCAGAGATTCAAGCTTCATGATAGGTGATTTGGATACTTTTCTGTTACAAATTTCCTACTAATCAACTCATGCAGTAAATTCATAGTTCTAATCAGGTTTTTGTTGCCTATGCTTGTTATTGTTCTGGAGTCTGGCTGTGCTGTTCAGTGTCTAATATGCTTTGCAGTTTCTCCTGAGGCCTTGTTGAGTTACTGTGACCAATCTGCAACATATTGCATTCTTTCAACATTTAGCTTTCTGACTGCAAATCCCTCTTGAATTATGTTTTTGTAGGGGCATAAATGAGTCGAGTCGAGTTAAGTATCTGTCTAATTGAGATAAACTCGTTTAATTCTTACTGAGCTCGAATTCAAGCTCGAGCTCGATGCTATCTTTTTGCTTATTTAACAAAAAAATATTATTAGGTGTAGATTATAAATTATGAGTGTGTAATTATATGCTCTAATCAAATAGAACATATATAGTGACTATATATCAGTGTACAATTTTGAGTTTTAAAGAAAAACGAATCACTCAATGAGTACATAATTGTATATTTTGGTACTTTGCTTGTGGCACTATAGCTCACATCAATTAATATTAATTGAACACAGGGAGCTTGGTGGCTCATTTGCTAGGAGTAGATGAATTTTCATTTTAATTTGAATTGATTTGATTTATTGTTTTTTTTTTTGTTGAAAAAAGAATATGGAGTAAATTGTAATTTATAGTAAAATGAATGTAAACGGAATGCGATATATTTGAAGGTGCTTGAATAAATGTAATAATCATGTGATTTTTTTCTTGTTTGAAATAAAATGAATGAAATATAAAGTTTTACAATGGTGGTGGGTAGTGCTAGTGGGTGGAGGTGTAAACGGGTTGAGTTAAGTAGTGACATTATTGAGCTGAGCTTGCTTAACTTATACTAAGCTTGAACTCGAGCTTAAGCTCGTTTAACAAGCTAGAACTTAACTCTCTGTATAAAAACTAAGCTCGAGCTCGATTCCATTATTCGAACTCGTTTAAAAAGTTTAAGCTATGTTCGATTGAAAGGCTCAAACTCAGCTCATTTATGAAGTTTAGATTTTTTTGTTGTCTTAAAAAATTCTTAAGAAAATGATATATTAAAAATTTTTAAAATCGAGTAGCTCGACGAGCTAACAAGTTAAGTTGGGTTGAGACAAAACTTGAGCTCATTTAGTAAACATGCTCGATTATAGATTCGAGCTCAAACTCAAAATTCGATAAGTTCAACTCGTGAGCTCGTTAGTGAGTTGAGTTTGAGTCACTTACACCTCTAGCAATAGGCAATCGATAATGGGTGTCATTATGGGAAGAGGGCTAGAGTGGAGTTAACTTGCAGTGTATTTTAAAATTCAATAAAAAAATGAACGAGTTTTAAATTCATAAAAATTCAAATACAAAGTGAATTTCAAATTCATTAAAATTTTATTCTGCATTCTTTTTTCATTAAATCAAACATACATAATTTTGAAAACCCTTATATTTGAAATATTTTATTCTCATATTTTATCAAATCAAACAGTCTCTTTTAAGTATTTTTATTTTTTTATTTTCTTTTATTTTTTAATTTTTTTTAATATTTTGATTGATTTAAATCTAGATCTAGGCATATCATACATTTTTATAAGCCTAAATTTTGAGGATAGGTAGATTAAAAATCAAAGATGTAGACATCAGCCCTTCCACAAATATTTTTTTTTTCTTGGGATATCTCAAAGTAGCGCTTATTTTAATATCAAAATAAAAATTTAGGTCACTCATTTTATCATTCAACACGCTTTGAAAGGGATAATAAGACTAATTCTAACCTAAGTAGAATATGCTTAGGTATCAGAGTTAGTGCCCCAGCACACTCTTATTATTCACGATAACGGTATTAAAATAAAATATTTGCAAAATCAATCTGATGACAAATGAAATAATTATAAAAATATTTCGTAGTAGAGAGTTGGAACTTTTCTTTAGCCGCACCGCCACTTGTTAGATTTGAATTTTTGACCGTTTCTATTTTTCTTAGGTTGTCCGGTAGCTGATTACTTTTCTTCTTCCTGACATATTCGGAAATTCTGTGCGTATTTAGAAATATTTAGTATTATTATTTTTCTTCTATGGAAAATTTTCCTACCTAACAAATTTAGCACAATCAAAAAAAAAATGAATTTTAAATGAGAAGAGTTATAAAAAAAAAAAAAAAAAAAAAAAAAAAACTTTGAATTTTAAATGAGAAGAATCATAAACTTAACCCACGTATACACTCTATGCGGAATGTCATTAATACAAGATCTTATGTTGGGAGTTAGTGCTCTCAATTATAGGGCTAATGTGAGTTGTGCATATTTATTTATTCTCTCTTAAATACTTTTTGTATGATATTATTTTATCTATTTATAACTTGTAAAGTGCTGATGTGTATTAAGCGAAAATCATGTTAATTTTTATTATCATAAATTATCGTAAAAATATTTGTTTTAGTTTATGTTAGGTAGAAATGTCTCAGAATAAGGTGAAAATTTGTAAAGTTAAAACCAGCATTGTAGCGCCTTCAACATCCCGATGGGCACCAAAATTGGACATTTTGGTGCCTGAGTCAGTTTGTGTGAAACATATAAATAATTTTTTTGTGTTTGTGTGTGTGTGAGAGAGACGACGACATAGTGAGTTATGTCTAGTGGAGCAGTTGGTCGTTCTTGTAGTGAATAAAATAATACTTAGGAGTGTAAAACAGTATGGAGAGTGAAGGTGTAAGGAGGGATTCACTCTAAAAAGAGTCCATCTGCAGGATTTGTTTGGGATTATTCTATTCAGGTGATATTTTCTTCATTTTTTTGTTTATACTTTTTCTTTTGCAAAAAATGAAAGTATTTTGCTCCAATTTATTTCTATAACTGGCTAAAACTCTTTGTTTTGAGTTGATGATGTGAATAATATATGTATATCTTAATGTAGACTATTGTATATAAATGTGAATGGTTGTTCTCAATTTCTCTCATGCTTCATTTAATTTATGCAATGATCATGTATGAAGTTAAAATCTAATTTGATACATTGCCTTGACGGAAGAATATTGAAACAATTAGGAGAATTGAGATGGAATACTTTCATACTTAGATATAGGATAGGATTCTAGGTTCTATAGAGATAGTATCATTGTAGAAAGGCCATAATCTTTTCTATACACCCTTACAAGCTCGATAGAGATCTAAGGGTACATATGCTTTGATCCACTACTATAGGTGAATCTGCTTAGGAAAACATAGGTTCATTCACTATCATTAGCCCAAAAAAACTTTAATTTTTTGAAATTTTTTTGTATCTTCACTACTATTTACATTTCTCAGTAGTTATAATATCTACTCTTTATTTCATTGCGTAGGATAAATTCTAGGCGCAGTAGACTATATTAGAGTTAGTTGTTGCATACTATTTTTCTCGTGGGATCTACACTCTCTCAAATACTTTATTACTTAATCGACATGTGCACTTGTGTTATTTGGAAATATATAGAACATAAAGTCATAATAGTAAGCAAACTCGTAAACTTCACATAGAAAAGCAGCACCAACATCCCATCCTATTTTAACGCCGTTATCGGAGAAATAATGTGTGTTTTTGTAACTATCTTTATATTTTCCAAAAAAGTTGCATATTTAATGTTACGCCACAAGATCAAATTTGGGATAATTGCTTATTTTTAATTGCTAAAATAGTCAATCAGAGCTTCTATGAATTCATTAATATAAATCACTCCAGTGGAAATATCTAAAACCATATACATCATAATTTTTCACTATATTCATTCTCCCAAAATCATATACAATAATCAGAAGATCAATACAATAACTAATCTATCAATAACTCTTAACTATAAAATAATAAAAGAAAATACGAAATTAAAAAGAAAACCTAAGGATATCTCATATCTGACAACCTCATTACACTAGTCCTAATCTCTTCCCTAGCCTAAAATCATTAAAATTCATATAATGTGCTGAAAAGCCCAACAGTAACTCAAATTTACTAAAGCTTTCAATGCATCGCTTAAAGAATCAATATGCATGCTCAGTTCAATTAATATAATAAATATCATTCAATTTCATCAATGATCAGTT